TCCATATTTTCCAGCTGCTCTGCCTTTTGGGATTTACCTCAGCGCATTTGCATTATAACCATCCCACTTACTACTAATATTCCCTGACAGCCAGAGGAAGAGGAATAATGGGAACTTGGGCCTCACAGACAGAAAATTCTGCACCGGATTTCCCTTATTTATTTAAACAATCATGCATCTTGCCACTTAACTGGGAACAAATTAGGACTGGAATGAGCGTATAGGCAGTGTTGTTTTGAAAGTATTTCTGTGAAACAGTGGCTCAGTTTCTTAGATCAGATGAGCTCTACCCAGCCTCTCTGGGTATTTGGGGTGTTCATGGAATAACCCCTCCCTCCCATGCCTGCTTCATACTGCTTACCTCCAGAAATGTAGCCCAGCTTTTCACTCAACAACTCAGATATTTTTCTGACCATATTTGAAAAAAAACACCACGTAAGATCATTTTGACACCTACAGGAGGAGGGTGACTAGTGGTAAAAATCTCTCAGAGTCTCTCACAGTACATAACTTGAGTACCATGAAGTCCCAGTGGGAAGGAAATCAAAGAACTCCTGTAATCGGCGAGACTGGATGGTGAAGTAGATATGTGCAACCCTTGGCTAGTTACCTGAGTTAGTTATAAATAATGAACTATAACTAACCTAGGTCCTCAGAAATGCTGACTGCCACTAAATTGAGGATGTGGAAAATACAGGCGTGGCTATAAAGGATAAAAGTTTGTTTCTTCTGAAAATAGTTTCGTGGCAAAAAGCTGCTTGGAGAAAGTACAGCTTCTGTGAATGGAGCACGTGGTTAGGATGACAGAAGGGCAAGCACTTCTTTGAAGATGTTTTTGCTTCTTAAACGATGATGAGAAGGAAGGGATAATATGGGAGATACACCTACTGTGAACTACTCTTAAAAAGTATGCCTGTTACAGAAAGAGTTGGAGCCAAAACTTTCAGAGCAGCCAGTGACCTCTTCATCTACAGAGCTATACACTGTTACTGCAGTAGCTATATGTGAAAGTATATACAGAAATATATTTCATTTCCCCAAGCCTTTTTCATTGTGGAGACATCTTGTTTCACTTGGAGGATGACAAATTTTGCTTCCTTTCCATGTTCTTTGTTCTCAGTGGTCCTTACTGGGATCTCATACATTTTAAGATTGTCTGGAAACATTAGAGACTGTTGGGAGCCTTGCTGGCCTGGATACACGCCAGAAAATATATTGCTGAATACTGAAATCACAGCATCTAAGATGATTGCTGCAACCCTTTGTTTTGGCTGAAACTCTCAAGTGCCCTGGAGGTATCTACTGTGTTTAAGTGGCTGGGAAAGTAGAAAATAATAGGAGCTCATAGGTCAGTTGTAACACAGCATGAGAAACTCAGCCACACGTAATAAAAATTAAAATAATTGGTTTTGTCTGAACATTCACTGAAAATGTTTGAACATTGTCTGAATTGGATCTGACACTGACTGTAAATGAGGGATAGCTGGACTTAGGCAAATCACATTTCCCAATCAAACATGAAGGTAGTAGTTATTCAAGGGGCAGTTTGTTTTCTGTGTGAAATTTCCACCCAGATCACTGGTTCAGGATGGCTGTTTCACTATTCCTTGGTATTTCTTGTCTTTTTCAACAAACAGATGCCTACTTCTAATAGTTTAAGGGCAAAAACATGCTTCAAAAGCTAGCTGACTTTTAGGTGGAGAGCTTTGATGATTGTATTTTGTGGACACAAAGTACAGAAATAACATAGGTGATTTCAGCATCTGAGTATCCAATCTGAATCTATGCTTTTTTCTTTTAAAATTCTAGGAGAAACATTGTCTGCCCTAAAGACTGTTGTGTGTTCCTTCTACTGCAGAAATCCAAAGTATTTTGCAAGGGACAAGAGCACACAGTGCTTGGATTAGCTTTGTGATATCTATATTACACATGAAATTATCTTCAATTAACAGATCTGCTGCACTAATTTTATCATTTGGAATAATTTCAGGTAGTGGAGAGTTGCATTAGCATCTTCTTTCTTTGCATTTGGAATAAAGAAAAAGTATCTTATACAGAAGAAGCAGCTATTTCCTTAAAATCCGACCTTCTGTAATTTAAAAAGTGCTTTAGAACTGAAGATGCAGACTTTTGTGCACCTACTCACTGACCACAATAATCATAGTGGTAACTGAACTCTACAAGAGAGGGTTGCTTCCCCAGAGGTGCCACACAGATACGAGTTCAAAGTAGCACCATGGGAAGGCTGATCCAGAGTTGCATAGATTTGCTTGTTCTCCACTTTGTAGAGAACAAAGGCATAAAGGATACACAGTGCACCTTAGCTTTTAAATATGCAGAAACCAATTTCATGGCTTCAGGAGAATTTTGTTCTCCTAAAGGAAAATGTGATGCTTACAGAGTTAAAGGTCAGAAATTCAAAATTTCCTGTGAATTTTTTTTTTAATTTTATTTTTTTTTTTTAATCTGTGGATTTGGGGTAGAAATATCCAAGAAGTTTGTAAATGGCTCTTTGCTGGTACTTTGTCCAGGGATCTGGTTGCAACCACAAGGAACACAGCGTAAGGGAACTGGTTGTTCAGGATCCCCAAAAGCTTTTCAGATGGCTAACTCTGCCTAGTTCAGCTGTTTCTCATCTTCACTGCAGAGACACAAACTGTCCTGTGCATACTGAAGTCAGCAAGCTTTGGCTAAAGAAAAGAGATGCCTCAGCTGGAATGGAAAACAGAGCAGTGTCACAGATGCCTGGTGACAACTAAATTTTGACAGTAATTCTCATTCAGCATGTTGAAATTGCTTCAGTTTGAACTGAGCATTGCAACCTCATGAAAAAAGAATATAAAAAGCAACAGGTAACACATGCAGCAACCTAAGATTAAGCATGCTGCTAGGCAAATGCTTCTGATACTTGTTCAGCTGAATCTCTTTAGTATCTCACTTCTGAACTTCTGAGAAAGAGACATGAACTAACTTGAAATACCAGTGTTTTCAGCTTCTGGAATGATAGTCATACACACACTAACATTTGCTTAAATGTTGTGATTTATCAGTTGCATCAGGGTAGCTGACAGGCAAGAAAACATCTATGATATTTTAGCTCTTTATTATGAATATTGTTGAAAGCCTCCGGGTTGCTATGGAAGTTTATTTGTTTTGGGCTTGAATTTTTGATTAGAAATCAAAACCAGGCATATTGGGAGAATTAAGGTCATCACTTCATAAAAACAAGGAATGCATAAAGAAAATATGGCCATACAGCAGTTATTTCTGTCAGAAGTTATCTACATTAGCCATTTGGCATTCATTATTCTAAAGCAGATGGAAGTACAGAATTATAAATACTTGTTGCTTACAACATGGGACTCATCCCTAATCCTGAAGACAATGAAGAGCGTTTTAAATGACTGTTTGAGAAGGAGCAGCCAAGAGTTCTGAAGTCTTCTAAGGTCTCTTGCAGTGTCTAGGCACAGCCACAGAATAAAGTAGTGAAAATACACAACAGTGCGTGCATATATGGGCAGCAGACCAGCATGTGCTGGAGAAACACCAGCACATGGTCTCTGACACACAGGATTTTCTGTGCTCCAGTATGATGTTATGATAAATTTCTATATGGTAGGTACGCTTTGGTTCAAGCTGTGAAAGATGCACTGCACTAGTACAAGCTCACACATACTATAAGTGCAGAGATTTGAAGAAATTCTTTACATCAACTGCACTGATGTTACATCAAAAAATATAGCAGAAATGAAGAAAACAGTGTTTCTGAAGCTTTCAGCCCACCATGACTGTAGGAAAATAGCATATTTGCAGCTTTCCCATTAATAGCCTAATGATGTTTTTGTGAAAGCAAATGAAAGAATTACAACTATGTGATTCATGGTTCCAGAGTGCTTATTCAGGCTTTGTTCTGTAACCTTCCCAGATCTATCCTTACTTACCCTGATTTCCTCTTTCCTGTCTCTTGGTTGTTGTTTTTGTTTTTCTTTTTTATTTATTCCCCCCCCCTCCTCTTTTTCACCTTTGAATTATGAAATTCTTGTCAGATTCTTAGTGTTTGTGGCTTTGTGGCTTCCTTAGCCCACCCCTCAAATACACAGGAATGTTTATGGGGCTCCAGAAGTTCCGTGTGGTGTATGCCTGCTATCAGTTGAGATGCTTTAACAACTTGTAGGAGAATAATTTATGACATCAGTCTAAACTATCCAATGCTTTTTTGGGATGTTAGCAGGCAGATGTTAGAACCATGTCCTTTTCCGATAATAACATTGACTCTAACCCATTAAAGAACAGAGCATGCCAGATTGCAGGGAAATAAAGAGAACTACCTCTTACTATTTCTTGGTGTGCTGCAGCACAGAATATGATTCCTCATAGAAAAGCACTAGTAGATACGTACAAGGAAGATAATCCAGCTGTTTTTCACATTTGTAACTCCATAGGTCATGATCCAACCATGGTGCAATAAATCATGCTTACAGTTTTCTGCTTTTCTCAGTGATAAAATTAAAGGCGGATGAGGCTCTGAATCATGAGGATGACAACAGTGATATGTTATTAATCTGGGGGAAGCCAACCCAGCTCCTTTTTCACGTCATACCAGCTGCAGTGCTGAACAGAACATGTTTTGTGGAATTTTTTTGGGAGGTGGGCCAGGCTAGGGAGCCAACAAGGTAAACAATAAGCAGTAGAAGAAGCAATAACCTGGGGATGTATTTGTATCAGCTGTTGGATAATAACTGTTTTAGGTAGCCAGCGTAGTTGCCAATTCTACCAATTGAGCTGGCTGGCTGCTGCTTTATAACTGTGTGAAAGCCTGAGTTGAAGAGCAGAAGTTGTGATCTGTTACTGGGGGAACTTCTTACATAAGCATATGGTTTGATTTTTGTGCTGCTATTTATTGCTTTGCATCAAGAGATCTATTTTCAAACCAGAAAAAATATGGAATATAATTTTAATTGGCTCCTAAAATGTACCATTATTTATGATTCTCACAACAGGAGGACTGTGCCATATGGGCTGTCTAACTACAAAGGCAATTTTAGAGGCAAAAGATCTACAGGGCAGATTCAAAATACTTTCCAGTCTTCAAATAGGTGTTCTTGTATGAATGCTCATGATGAACAGTGTATGCAGTTTTGCAGAAGAATGCAGGACAGAAGAAGGTGAGTAGCTTTTCTTAATATTGCAAACTTCCAATAGTCAAACATGAGTTGCTGTTTCACAGAGGTGAACTAGTCAAGTTGCGTGTATCATATGAAACCGATTAACAGATAGATTGATTTTTAAATAAACATTCTCCTCTCCAGTTGTGGTGAGTTAACCCTGGCCAGCAGCCAAGCACACAGCTGCTTGCTTACTTCCCTCTTAAGAGGGATGGGGGAGTGAACAGGAAGAACAGCGAGAAAACTCATGTGTCACAACCAGGAGAGTTTAATAGGTGAAGGAAAGAGGCCAAGCCTGCTGCAGTACTGCTATTTGCTGTTTCTTTTTATGATGTAGTATTTTTGAAACAGCAGATCTCCTGTCCAGTTAGGGTCATGCACTGTTTTAGAGTGGTTTAAGTTTTATCTATCTAATAACGAGTGAAATGACATTGTCATTTTATGAATGGCTCTGTGAGGATAACTGATGAGAACACGGTGGCAATCTCTCTTTTCCAGAAATCGTGGATCAATGAAAGAGACAGAGGAGAAAGACCAGTGCAGGGAAGAACACAATTTGATCCAGTAGCGCAGAGAGTTTGGAGTATTCTGAACAGTCAGGTATGCTACAGATACTAGTATTTCTTTTCAACATTAAACATTACATAAACTTCCCTTATATTTGCAAAACTAAACTTTTTTTAACTGAGTACTATCAGTGCTTGCTACATAAGGGCAGAATCTGGCTCAGGACTTGTTTGGGGTTTTTTTCAATTACTGTGTTTTCTAAATATCCTATAGTATACACAGAACTACTCTAACTTTCCTCATGCTGATGTAGCTCCTTTAAAAGTTGGATTCTTTGGCTAGAAGCTGATACATATTTTGGCAACAGTCCCCTGTTTTCTATTATTTGTTAGGGCAAGGGCTGTTTCTGTCTCATTCATTTAGCACTGCAACAGCTTCAGCTACGTGTCCCCATGCAGTGCTTCAGTAAAACTTAAACTGTCAAGGTAAAGAAACAGAACAAACTTTGTGGATATAGTATTTGGAGGGAAAAATAAACTTAGTTTAGATATTAGATATAAGGAGGCTATTGAGACCTTACAGTTAGTTTCAAAAAGTTCCAAGTTCCAAATCTACCCTTAATGCTATTGCTACATACAAAATGCAGTATGATATCAGCATAAGCAGCTACTTGGAGGTAAAAAGAAGCAGCCATTTGAACTAGAAAAATTGTTGTGTTTTTTTTTTTTTAAGTAATTAATCGCACCATTATTCAGAAATTTTTGCTATGAAGGGAAGCACTTGGATTAGAAGGCCCCAAGTTGAATTTATCGCTATGATTATGTGATCACAGGCAATTAGACAACTGGGTAGTATTTACTGTGCACAGTCAAGGAGATGAAACATAGTTCTATCACATAATAGGCAGTTAGTCTGAATAATTAGGCAGTTTTTTGTTTTGTTTTTAGAGCTTTAATGTTTATTTGCTGAAGCTCAGAAGCAAGAACTTAAACTACAGCTCTCCCTTGAGATGGACAAACGATGCTTCAGTCTGATGCCAGTGGAGAATTCAGCAGAGTGCAACACTTTCATTTCAACAATGCCACTTTGAGGGCATGTGAACATATATGAAGAAGCTTTCTCCCATGCTCCTCTCGCAAGAGTCTCAGTAAAGGGTAATATTTATCACATAACCTGTCAGGGAATGTATCACTATTGAAGAACGCAAAGGCAGATCTGAACTTCATCACTACAAAGCTTCAGAAACATTTTTCTATGCAATTTAAAGAAGAACAACAGAAACTTAACTGTGCCACTTACTGCTCACTCTGTGTCTGAAGAATCCATCCCCAGCTTCATGCAGGCAACTGTAATTGGAGAATGTGATGAGTTAGAGATTGCCTATACATGAGTTCTCATTAAGAATAAACTGATACAAAATCTTGCTCTTGTTAATCTATGCAAGCCTGAATCATCATATTTTAACTTTGTGGCAGATGTTTAAATGACAACATCTATGCAGAATAAAGATGGATGGCTATTATAAATATTATAAACTATAGCAAGTCAAAAGTATACATTGAGTATTCAATAGATTACCTAACTTAGGCACAAATTATTCCTGCACTTCAAAGTTCCGTTCAAAAACTTCTACACTAAATGCACTGTAGTTGATGAACAGAACTCCAATTATTCATCCCAAAGAATTTCCTGTAGATGAAAGGGCAGGACTGTGGAACTTCAAATGAAACGTCATACAATCAGACTAACTCACTGTGCTAGACCATGTGCTGTTCTAAGCCCCTACATAAGTTATCATCCACATTCCTCTTTGCTAGTACTATAAAAATTATGTTTTTATCTCTTCATTGAAACATCATTGCTGATTAACTCAGAAACTTGGCAATAAGGATTATATCCAGCCCTTAACGTTTGTGAATGACTTCTTTAGAAATTATGGACTTTGATAGGAGGATGCAAGAGTAAGCTGGAAAAAAAAAAAAAACTTTTGCAAATCCTGTTCTGTATTATTTAAAAACAAAAAGAGAGGAAATCTCTTACTTGTGACATTACAGATGCTTTTGTTTGACTGACCTTCACACAGACTTTGCCCAAAGCACAAAGGTTAAATAACCCTATGACATTAAACTATATTTTAACATAAGAGCGATGGAGACCAACAAAATGAAAATACATTAACAGCAGAAGTGGTTGTATGTAAGCTTAAAACAATGGTAATAGACTTTGTTTGAAACAAGAAAGGGAGGTCTTTGCCAAAATATATATATTTTATATATATGTGGATATATTTCATAAATTATTATAGTTATAAAATTAAATATATCTTTCAGTTATTGCATTTGTATCAGTTTCTTGGTATACAGCTGATTTTGTACATTAATGGAAAATAGATTATTTATTGTATAGAAACACTTTGCATACTATTTTCCCATAATTTTTAAAAGACACTGTATAGTTTTGGGGTTTTAAAAAATAATCAAGCTTTGTTATGAAGAATGCTTATTATGTTCCTTTATAACCATAAACTGGATCCCCCCCAATGCATATGCCAAGGTCATACAAAAACTTGCTTTCTTCAGGAGATTGAGAGTTCTCCTGAGAGTTTGAGAATTGAGTATGAAAAAACAATAAAAATACTTTGATAATAATTATGCATAAGAAGTTCCATCACAGTTTTGTGTCCCGTTTGCTATAAACATCACCCTCATCTGGCCTGATTTGTATCCTGACACAAAGGAGGAGGTAATGGTCATTTGCACTGTGAGTTCTGTTTGTGAACAGTGTTCACTGACTTCAGCTTCAGTCATTGTATTATTTTTTCTCCCTGGAACTGCAGACTCATTCCAGTGCTGACTGGACTGCCAGTGCTTTCTCATCTGACACAATTCAGCTTTTAGATGAACTGCTCAAGTCTGTGGTTCTATTTCTACTGTCTTCTCCCACATGAATCCAATTTAAATGTTTAATTTGAAGATGGATTCACACCTTCCCCAGTCTCACGTGCTGTTTTCACTCTATTTTAAATGTTCACAGAAAAACACCCCAACAAAACCCCTCAAACTGGGTTCTTTCTTTGGCATGCAGATAGATTTATCACTTGAGAGGTGGGCTGTGGGTGTTATTGTTGTGCTCTTTCCTCAAGAAAAAAAAAATTCAGCATTTTTCTATGTGAATGCCACTTTCAAATAGTTTGGGTTAGGGACTCTGCACAGCAACTAAAAACATTGTGCCAATGTACCACAAGCAGTTTATGCAAAAAATCTGCCCATCAGGAATACAGCAGTAGAAAGAAAATGAGAAATAACTGTTATATCAAACCCAGAAGAGGAAAAAAAAAGTAATAATCTAAAGTTCACTGTAGATATCTCCAAATAAATATATAAACCATATACCTGAAAGTTGCATGCAATGGGTTCTGGAGTCAAACTACCATCACTCTGGGAATAATTAGTGGCCGTGAGACTAACTTTACCTAATTTCATGTGTTTATGTCACTATTAATATTCCTAGTAGAGGGGCAGGATCACCTCCTTTGACCTGTTGGTCACGCTCCTTTTGATGCAGCCCAGGATATGGTTGGCTTTCTGGGCTGCAAGCACACACTGAAGCCGGTTCATGTTCACTTTCTCATCCACCAACACCCCCAAATCCTTCTCCACAGGGCCGCTCTGAATCTCTCTTTGCCCAACCTGTAGCTGTGCCTGGGATTGCTGCGACCCAGGTGTAGGACCTTGCACTTGGCATGGTTAAACTTCATGAGGTTAGTATCAGCCCACCTCACAAGCGTGTCAAGGTCCCTCTGGATGGCATTCCTTCCCTCCAGTGTATCAACTGAACCACACAGCTTGGTGTCATCGGCAAACTTGCTGAGGGCGCACTCAATCCCACTGTCCATGTCAGCGACAAAGATGTTAAACAAGACCGGTCCCAACACCGATCCCTGAGGGACACCACTTGTTACTGGTCTCCAGCTGGATATTGAGCCATTGACCACAACTCTTTGTGTGCAGCCATCCAGCCAGTTCTGTATCCACTGAGTGGTCCATCCATCAAATTGGTGTCTCTCCAATTTAGAGACAAGGATGTCGTGTGGGACAGTGTCGAACGCTTTGCACAAGTCCAGGTAGATGACGCCAACTGCTCTACCCCTGTCCATCAGTTCCGCAGCCCCATTTCTTTTTCATAGCCTGTTTTAAGAAACTACCCTTAAATTGTGATAAACCGGGGGGGGGGGGGGAGGGGGGGAGGGAGGGGGAGAGATTCCTTGCAGAAGTTAGAAATAATGCTCTTTCAACATGTAACACTAGCATAGTTAGCCGTACTCAGCACTACTCATCTGGGATATTATTTTGAGGACACTTGTGTTTACTTTTGAGCCAACAAATAAGTTCCCATTCTTACTCTATTTCATGTAAAACCATTTATATATAACTCTGCTCTAATTCTGTCAGTCACATAGTTCTCATTTTTATTCCCATTAATAAAAGTTCATTTTTCAGTTGTTAACTGAAATTGTTAACAATAAGAACAATAAATGATCACAGGTCTAGTAGAAGGGAGGTTTGGAAGAATTTCAGGGTCTTAGCCTATGGAGGAAGGAGACCTGACTGCACTTGTCAAATGCAAAGGGCTTGGACAGAAAGCCATTCTTTGTTCCCTGTGTTCCCAAAAGGAAGTACAACACAAAGAGCCGTAGATTGCAGCAAACGTACCCATATGCATGGTTATGTGCTGTGAAGACACCAGTCTCCATCAGCAGTTCCACCTCTGACTCCTTGGCTGGGCCTGGTAAAAGACTTTCAGGTCAGATATCCAGAGAGCTGTCAAAGATGAGAGCGAGAAGGGGGTACATCTTCCTGCAGACTTGGGTGACTATTTCTTGAGCAGAACTCCTGTCTCATTTCCTGTACATGAGAACAAATGGCTCCTTGCCTGATGCTCTGTAGATCCTTCTCCTCTTATGTCAGTAAAGGGATAGCAAAATAAGGCGTGTAGGAGGAAAGGAAACTGATTTTTAATTGACTTCACCAGGAAAGATGTTTCACTTTTATAAAGAATTCTACACAAATTAAAATAGACCCTTGATTTATTCATTCAGTTATCTTTACCCTTACTAAACTTGGTTTTTTTTTTTTTTTGTAACACACTAGTCTACCAGATATATGAGTGGGAGGTTATTTTATCATACAGGCAGAAGAAGTTTATCTTGGCTAAACTGTGATGACTTACATCATTCCTCATGGGCTTTAAAATGTTATTATCTAAATGGTATTATCTTCCAACTATTGAATACTGAACTGAATTGGTTTTTCCTGCCTAAGAAGCATAGAGCATCTGGAAGGGATGCCATCCAGGGGGACCTTGACATGCTTGTGAGCTGGGCCAGTGCCAACCTCATGAAGTTTAACCATGCCAAGTGGAAGGTCCTGCACCTGAGTCAGGGCAATCCCAGGCACAGCTACAGATGGGGCAGAGAAAAGATTCAGAGCAGCCCTGTGGAGGACTTGAGGATGTTGGTCGATGAGAAACTTACCATGAAGTTCTTTACTGTGAGGGTGGTGAGGCATTGGAATGGGTTGCCCAAAGAAGTTGTGAATGCCCCACCCCTGGCATTGTTCAAGGCCAGGCTGGACAGAGCCTTCGGCAACATGGTCTAGTGTGAGGCATCCCTGCTCATGGCAGGGGGTTGGAGCTAGATGATTTTAAGGTCCTTTCCAACCCTAACTATTCTGTGATTCTGTGAAGCTTCTGGGATAATGTGCCAGCACATTATGCCAGCAGCAACTGAACAAAATACTTTTGGTGTTTTTAAAATCCGCATGTTTGACATCTAAGCCTCTCACAAACCGCAACTCAACAGAAAATGGTTGTAAGAATTTCTCTTGCTACAAGAAAAGAATGAGTGTTACATTATAATACTCTTTTTAGGACCAAAAAAAAAAATCAATTGTGGCCACAATTCTGAGATATGTTCTTACTAGATCCATCTTGAATACTTTTGGCTACCAAGCTCTCCAGCCTGAAAGATGTTCCCAATGGTACCATCTTTCACGCATACTTCAAATGTTGCTTTTAGGAGCTGATTTTCAGAATAGCTGTGCAAAAATAACTTGGCTGTGAAAGATTACTGAGGACAACCATGACAATTTGTTTCAAGGTGATTTAAGATGACAAAATTGTGTGTCTTTATAAGAGTAAAATGCAGGCTGAGTATGACTGAATAAAATAGCTGAAAGTTATTGCTAGAAAAGAAACAAATTTAGCCATATGAACATTAAATCTTTAACCCCCCAGCTTGAAATCTACTGGAATAGTAATCAAGCAATAGTGTTAACAGATGAGTTTGGAAATGTCTGTTTTCACTTTTGTAGGGATTTAAAATGGGGAACATATAACCTGATCTGGAGAGCTTTAAGCTACAAAGAAATGCCAGAATTGAGAGCCTTGGAATACATTAAGCAAGTTAAACAAAACATATTGAATTTTCTGTTTACCTTGCACTAGGTATCTTGGCAAATTTAGTTTAAAAGCATACTTTATAAAGTATTTTGACTTCCAAGATTTTCAGAAGTGCTTTACCAGACAGGCAAGCATTGATGTGAAAGCCAAAGGTATCTCTGTAGTTGAGTGACCCATGCTGACAGTCAGTAGCAGAGTCGAGCTTCAACACAGATTTGGGGTGAGGTTCAAGTCTCAGCTCCTATTCTGCCTGGGAAACACCTCACTGGATCCTTGGGCTCTTGCTGGCTTTTAGCCTGGAGTCCCACCAGTATGCACACTGAACACAGCTCCCCATATCTAGATCATCTAGCTTAGTGTTCCCATTTATTTCAATATGATCCTTATCCATTTTATAACAGAGTAGGTTGCTTTGCCATTTCCTATATACACCACTTTTAGAAATTAGGTAGATATATAAGCCCATCTAAAAACTCCTGCCTCTCTGAGTTTCTTTAAGAATCTAAGCATCTTTACCATGTGCTATCATTCATGTCACCAGTAAACAGACATCTCAATCAAAACTTCCTGCAGATGTCTCTATAAACATAAACAGGATTGTATCAACTTGCAAGTGCTGAAATTTTAGCCCCTTAACAATAAGTTGATTCAGAGTCTTTCACAAACTCCATTTTTCCTATGAATATTTTAATATCCTATACAGACAGGGTCATTTAGACACTAAAGAGCCAGTATGTTAAACAATGTCATAATCTTAGAGGAGTTTTCTTTTTAGTGTTTATAATGGATATTCCATTAGACAGCAAATCACACTTATTAAGTACTTATTTTTGTTAGAGCTGTTTCTCAGAATGTGAACCAGCTCTCCTTTAGGTTAGTGCTTATGTGCTTCATGAACGGTAATTTTGCTGTACTTGTCCAGGAACTGTTTACTGCAATCAGTTAAATGATTTCCATTTTTATTTTCATAGTTAATTATGATTTAGCCATCTTCCTTTTCCAATTAGTCCCTTCAACCCCTTAAAGAATTGACTAAACAATTTGGAAAAGCTTCAGTATCTCACTGTGCTTCTCTTTAGCATCCCAGGCCTGGCTATTTGTATTGCCCAAAAGCTGCCTCCACTTACCATTAGCTATGCAAATACTTTCAATGTAGATGTAAAAAGAATAGGAGCCTTCTGTCATTAAA